TTACATGTTAGCAGTTGTTTCAGCCACCAAGCATTGACCAGAACTTTCTCCCCTCTCTCTCCAAAACAATTCATGTATGTGATCAAACAACTAGAAAGTTGCACGTGTTTGTGTCTTTTCTTAAGACCGAAAGCATGAGAAGCGATAGAGAAGACGAGAACAAACCATAAGGAGAAAAAAGAAAGTCTTCGCCCTTGCTTCAATCACCAACATGCTCCTCGAGAAAAAAACTTAGCAAATATACTCTCAAGCTGGTTCATCATGCAACAAAGATTTACCTCTACTTCTAGTAGGTACCTCTAAACCACTTTCGTCAAATCCATTTCAGTGCTTGTGCTCCAAGCTTCCCCTTGTTACTTACTGTCAGTTTGTGGAGGATATGTAACACCCTAATTCGTCCAGGTTTGCATCCCCTTTCGAACTAAAGTATTAACTTGGTAACCGTAAACATTCAAAACATTTTCAACATTATTTCAAAATAAAGTATTCAGAATAATAACGAAGTAACTTAATGTTGCGGAAGCGTCATAATTCATAAGTACAAAACATAATAATTTTATGTCTCTTTTAAACAGTAATTCATTTCACACATCTAACTCGACCACCTCGCCCCGTCTGCTACTAGGAACAACCACTTCATTCTTTCTGTTTCTCTGCGTGTAGCAAATAAAACATACTACACACTCAATGTTGAAGCTGAGTAAGCATATCTAATGCATCGAACATCCATATAAACTGAATCTAAATACGTAATCAACTCATTTGATATCATACACATAACATTCAATTCAATCATTCAATAGTAAATATTCAATTTTCAACAATCAATATTCAACACTCATACTTATTTTCAACATTTTCCAACAATATCCTTAAACTATTCTTAGTCTAAGGCCAATTCCTTTAATATTTACCAACTCTTAAACTAATTCTAGTTTAAGGTACTTTTAACCAACTCTTAAACTAATCCTACTTTAAGGTACTTCTAACCAACTCTTAAGCTAATCTAGTTTAAGGTACAAGTTTTCAAAAGATTTTCCAACTCTTAAACTAGTCATTACTAAAAGTACACAATAACCGAACAATGGAATATTCATTGTCGGGTTGGATGGTATCCCCAAACAAGTTATCCTCTAGTTTGGTTTGCAGATCCCGTACATACCTTTTTACTCAGACCACCGAATATTCATAGTTATACCCACAAGGCCTATTTCTAATCTATCTTAGAGGTTTTCTAGATAGTGTTAGAAATCAATGTGAACATGAATATATCTTAGAGTTCTTCTAGATATCCTTTACAATACAAATCATACAATCATTAATGTACTCATTTTAAATCATGGTTCAATCATTCACAATAATCATTCTAATGAGTAGGTTCATCAATATTTAATCATCCATTATCATAATCATCCATAATAAAAATCATCATAATATTCAATAACAATTAGCGGTCTAGCGTCGAGTGTTAAAATTCTAGCTTACCGTCATGCATCATAAAAGGTTATTGGATTTGTCAAAACATCTTATTTGTTTCTAGAAATCATTTCCATATTGATCATATTTATTTGATATCAAGAATATGATTTAATATTTCAAAAATAAATTTTTTGAAAAATTTCTCTAGTTCACGCACGAGATAATAGATTAATCGAAGATAGGAAATCGATTAATCATTACTGACTTCAAATGCTTTAGCGTAAAAAGGGCTAATTGATTAATCAAAGATAGGAAAATCGATTAATCACTTCTGACTTCAAATGCTTCAATAGAACAAAGGGCTAATAGATTAATCGAAGATAAGAAAATCGATCAATCACATCTGACTTCAAATGCTTCAACAGAACAATCAATTAATCGATTAATTGCTACTGCTTATCGTCTTCTTCCTTGGGTCCATTTTCGAAAATATCATTTTTAGTCACCAAACTTCAATTAAATTATATAGAAGTGTTCTCCAATGTTCATAGATCATTTTGGTATTATTAATTTGTAGTCTTAACAACCATTTCAAGGTTTATGATTCTTGACTCTTCAAACATGTCAAACACAAAAATCAACCAAACGACCGTTTATAAACGTAGAAACGATCTATACGAAGATTCTAGTCACTAGATATATCTACGGGCTTACCTCAATCTTAAACGGAGGTTTGAGATTTTTCTGGCGAAACTTCCGGCGATAATTACTCCCAACTCCGGCAACCTCTCACCAAATTGACAGCACCACTGCGTTCTCCTTACTCAGAGTAACAAAATAGGAAGAAGAATTGTGAAGAATGGTGAGAAATTAAAGGAGAAGAAGTGGTCTTTATATAGGAGAAGGAGATGAAGCTGCTAATGGTGATGTTTCATTTCCTGTTTGCACGGCTGAGTGGAGCGAACTGCAATTGCTTCGGATTTCAAACGCAAGTCCCTGATTGGGAGTCATTTGGTCCCAGTTAGGGTATACTTTTTGTCCAACTTTCTCTGAATTAAAATCTGATTGAACCGTTGCGGTCAGATAATTAAATTCTACACAACGATATAATTTTCATTATTTATTGACAAACTTTTATAAAGCACTTGTTTTTGGATCCTTCTCAGTAATTAATTAATTAATAATTATTTAATTCTGATAGGCCTATATTCGAGGCATTACAGCATATGAAGAAGAATAGAAGTATTAAGAGATATTATTATTATTGTTGTTGTTGTTGTTGTTATTATTTACTTTCCTTAATATATAAGGAAAGGTCCTTCATTATTCATTAAAACGAATTATTATCACATTGTATCAAACAAAAACCAATGTGGCCTATATATAGGGAGTGGAGGAGAAGTTGTGCGAATCAAGATCGTACTGCATGCATGATGACCAATCATGAGGTAGTATGATAAGACTAATAGCAGAGTGTGGTTTTCCTCTTTTACTCATTCGTAACCTAACCTTGAATTTATTGTTTCCATTTATTTCAAAGACAATGATAATTTCGTCCAAAATGGTAGGCTCTTTATCTATCATATAGAGTCACATAGTTTTGAAGTCCCGCCACCCCGTGTCCCGAGTCTAGAGTCATGCAACACGCATGCATGGCGTGGTGAGCGTAGTGACGAAAACACACATATGCTCACCTTTTTACGTCACCATAAAAATCTTTATAATGTAATTAAGTGTTTCACCTTTTAAAAGATTATTTATTGAGTTTTGTTTCCAATGTCGAAGCACATTCATTTCTACATTTTGAAAAAACTTTGCTCCCTTAATTACTTTGTATTACTCAACGAGTCTATTTCTAGAATTAATTTCTCATTCACCTCTTTATCATTTTGGCGGATAGTATATCAAAACATCGGTCTCAATTAGTAGAACACAATTTCCATTATGTAAGACTTCATGAAAGTGCTCTTGGAATACATTGATCTTTAAGCCAAATTTCCCGCCCAAACCAATATTCATACTTTATTTTCAACAACCCCCACCTCAATTAAAAGCTTAACCAATGAACTTATCCCTCGTAAAGGCATACCTTCCGTATTAGTTGTTCAGTAGAGGACAATGTCTTTGAATTATCCTGCATTTGTGTAAATAATAGTATTTTTACAAAGATATCTTCGTACGTAATGTTATTTCGCTCTCATGAATGTGCCCATTTTGGTCATAAAACACTATATATGCATAGTTTTGTGAGAGTTGCTAAAGGATCAAATTAAAAGCCCATAATCCTCCTTCTAAAGCCATCACACTTCTCTTCTCACACAGTTGATGGTTAAAGAGTACTTTAAATACCACCTAATCTTACATGTCTATATATAGTATTATAACCATTAAACCACACAAGTGTGCTACCCCCGCCCCTTTTCAGGAGTGACTATTTATTAACAAAAAGATGGGATATTTTAAGATTTTGGTCCTCTTTAATAGTCCTATAGGTAGGATGTCCTCGTTGGAGTTTCTTAGCAAAGGGCATTAAACTCATTCCCGCAACCAACTTCTCATGTAAGTCATTTGTTAACCCTTAGGTTCACGGACCCCTCAAGTTATTTATTTACTATAGATAGCCTATCATGATAATCCCCGTTGACAAAATTCGTTCAATGGTGTTATGTCTTCGATAAATGTGTCTTGTCTTACCATTATACATACTCTATTTTATTTTTGACTTGTTCTATTGGAGACTAACAGTCACATTACCTGCAAATCGATGAAGTTTGTCCTTCCTGATGTTTCATAACCATTCAAATTCCTCTCAATTTATATAATGTTATGAATTCAAATTCCATAGTGAACCTTGCAATTAATGCATATCTCGAGGACTTCCAGGATACAGTTGCACCTACTAACATGAAGACATTCGTTTGTGGATTTTCGATCTTTCGTGTCAGATATCTATTTTGCATATGTGCATTCTTCCAACACACTTGGATATCTAGTGTAGTGTCGGCCATAATTGCAAGATACCTTAGGTGTCTTATCACCCACACTACTTTGCAACGTTTGGATTGTTAGTATACTTGGTACCAATAGCGTAAGCTAGATGTGGTCAAGTAGCTCATGAGATGCATCATGGGATCCAAGGGTGGTTTACTACTTCGTGTTTTTTTTGATCTAATAGAATATTGTAGATGTCTAATGTTAATCTCATGACATTGAGTTTAATGTCAAATAAACTCTATTGCTTTTGATATAAAATGGATGGATATAAACAAAAAATAATTTTGGAAGGATGAATTGAATTTATTATGGGCACTTTTTTTTGTGTATGGAGCGATTTGACTACACATGCCTCAGTTTAGGGGAAAATCGGAAACTCACAATTTATTTGTGCGAGTGAAAGGAAATAAAGCAGAAAGGAGTGGGGATACTGGGAATAGATAAAAGCAAGAGCAAGCATGCCGCCTCCAGGCTCTTTCTTCTTCCTCTACTCAATTGCTGACTACCACTGTCACATTTGAGGGAAATAAACCAACAGTTATTATTAGACCTAATATTTGGGGTGATAAAGTTCTATTGTTGAAAAAAACAAGCCAGATTGGTTTGGCACTGAATCTTCTTTTCCTCCCCCCTGTTCTTCAGTTAATTATTACTCCTTTTAAAAATCTTATCTTTTTTTCCCCCTTGAGGGAATTCTGATTGAAGAATATGTCTGTTGTTGGTCCCCTCATATTTTTTATACGTCTTGAAGAAAATTCTTGATTCCATTGAAGAAAAAGGGCTTTTTTTTAAAGTTCTTGACACTTTAGTTCTCCACCCTCAATCTCTGAGGCTTCAATGTTCTTCTGGGCACTCGGTTGGTTCCATCTGTCTTCATTTTGAAGTGTTCTTTTATAAGGATTCTGTCTGCTACTCTACACTGATTTCGTCCGTTGATTTGAAGCTTTGTTGGTTGGGTTTTTGGGCATTTACGGTAATAAAGTTGGAGACTTTTTTTTGTGTTTTACTGCTCTCAAGATTCCTTGGGAGAATGCGATAACCCAACGCCCTCCCCATTCTTGATCTTCCAATTCTTTTAGCGCTCTGGGCATTTTCTTGAAGACTTTGGAGCTCTTCTGAATTTGTGTCTTTGTTTAAGTTGCTGTTCAAAACCCTAACAGCAGATAGTCTCAGTTGATGCCAGAGGTTGAAATGTTGAGTCTTTTGTGACTGGAGAAGAGATTTGAGGCCTCTAGGGGGGAAAGGGATGAGAACCCGCGGTCCAAATCTCTGCGACGCAGGTGCGAAATTCGTGTTCTTGTTGTGCTTTCATGTGAATTGTGTACAATGCCAATCTAGCGAGCATCGGGTGTCTCCACAATTCACGAGCAGATTTCCGAGAATTATGCTTAGCATTCTGCTAGGAGTCTTGACAGGCTTGATATCTGCTCTTTTCTTCGCTTGGGCAGTCAGGTGCTTCATCAGGTACATAAACAAACCCCCAATCCTCAAGGGTCCGGTTGTCTTTTCCCCAAAAATCATTCCCAAGACCCTACAAGCAGCTCTTTCCAATGAACCCCAGTTGCTTGGTTCAAGCTGTAATGGGAAGTATTACAAGACTGTTCTTGATAACGGGCTAACGGTGGCTGTAAAGTTGCTTGAAGCTGGCAGTTCACCTGAGAGGAAATCAGCCAAGAGGAAAGTTCAGCAGGAACTGGAGCTTCTTGCTGGCCTAAGACACAGAAATTTAATGAGTTTAAGGGCTTATGTTCAAGAATCCAATAGGTTTTACTTGGTTTATGATTATCTTCCTGGTGGGAGTCTTGAAGATGCACTGAATACGGTGAGGGAGAATCAAGTAGAGCTCAAGTGGGAAGCCCGGCTGCGAATTGCGATTGGAATAGTTAAGGCACTTCAATATCTTCATTTTTCGTGCAATCCGAGATTTTTGCACTACAATTTAAAGCCTTCCAATGTAATGTTGGATACCGAGTGTGAGCCAAGGCTGGCTGATTGTGGTTTGGCCAAAATCATTCCTAACTTTGAACGAGCAGCTTCGATCTATAGTCCTTCCGAATCTTTCCACACATCCGGGTAATCAACAAAACTGGCCTCACATAGAGCTTGTCAGCTAACATTAGGACATTCTTTGGTCTATATCTGTTAAATTATCTTCACTCTTTAATGTGATCTTGTGCTTACAATTGTTCGATGTATGTCATTAGGTGTCTAAGCTTGTTACTCAAATTGGGTGAGATTTGTTATGACATATTCATCACCCTAATCCCATCTTTTTGCTTGAAATTAAAGTGATCAATTAGTGGACTAAAGTTAGTTAAAATGTGTTTTAAAAACCCATTATTATGAAAGATTCTCTGTCAAATTCAAGATTCAGATTGAACATAAAATACATTTATTCCTTCCTTTTCTGGGTATTTTATTTATGACTGGTTTCTTCGTCGGACATTGCAACTTCATCAAGATTATGCTGCATTTTTTGCCAATGTTTCTGAAACTGATGAGCGGATAAGCACTGAATCTGTGATGATTTTGTTACAGTAGTAGGTATACTGATAAGAGTGATATATTCAGCTTCGGAGTCATATTGGCGAATCTGTTAACCGGTCAAAGCCCTACGGATCCTTCGGCGACCGGGGGAAGCTTGGGGCGGTGGCTTCACCGCCTTCAGGGAGCAGGCTCGGCCCGAGAAGCCCTGGACCCACGTCTGCTCGGGGATGAAGAGGAAGAAGATGAGATGCTAATGGCTGTTAAAATTGCTGCTGTTTGTCTGTCCGATTCGCCCGCGGATCGCCCATCGAGCGATGAGCTTGTCTCAATGCTCACCCAATTGAATAGTTTCTGATCAAACATGCTAGGGGCACACACCACTTTGACACCAATGTATCTCACACACACTCACAGACAATCAGAATTTGTCTGTGTCGGGCTTGGTGTCAAATCTGGTGTCAAAAATGGTGTGTCCCTTACAACCCTTGGAGCTCTTTAGGTTGTTTTTGGTTTTGGGGGCATACTTTGTACAACCTCTTTGCTTCAAGTGGTTTACTGAAATTAGTGCATCTTTAATTAATGTATCTTAATGGTGAATTGTAAGAGTAAGTGCAGCTTGTAAATTGCATGATTCCTAACAGGAAATTTAAATTTGGGGAAAAAAATTATGTAGGAGAGACATGAAAGTCTTGTGTTTCTTTGCTTTGGATTCATCTGCCTCATAATATTTCTGTGTGCAAAATGCAGTATGCAGACACACTTTATGGGTTCAAATTGTGGCCCCAATAATATTATGTCATGTACGAATATGCTAAAGGAAAAATGACAAAAGGAAAAAAAACTTTCTGCCTGTGTTTGTCAATAACTTCAGCGTTTTGAAAAGATTATCTAATAAAATCATTTAATATTAGTGTTTTCAAAAGTAATTTGTACCAATTAAAGTTATCCAGAATGATAACGTTAACTAAAAATGATGTTCTCAAACAAGACTTTTGTACATGAGGCAAATTATGATTGGAGTGAGCAATCTGCGCGTGAGACTAATCGTTTTTTTGATAATCCAATGTTTGTTCTTGCGCTCCCTTGATCTTGAAGTCTATGAACCAATCATCAAGCAGTTTCATAGATATCAGACAACGATTGCCTGTTTATGTCTATTCAACACATGGTGTCAAACATTAATATCAAAATTGGTGTGACTATAACATGATCAATTTAAGAAAACAAAAATGTTTAGCGGACACAGAATTTGACACCGCTTTGACATCAACTTTATCAAAAATTGCCAGAGTGGTATCAAACTTTTGGTGTTTTTCTAACATAACATTTGAGAAAAATATTCAGCCACCAATTGATGGTACAAACACATATGCAATGTTTATGTCTGGCGCCATGTTTGGGAGACTTCATGAGTAAAGGGACTTTTTGCAAAGCAAAATTATGAAGTTTCTTGAAAAAGAGACTTTTGTTTTATTATTAGTTTTTTTCATATACAATTTAATTTTAAAAATGCTTTTTTTTTCTTGTTTTTATTTAATGCATAGGGCATCTATCAACTGATATTTTCTATGTACGCTACGCGTGAAAGTTGTTTGTCTGTTTGGTGGATAAATTATTGGAATAAATAATAAGGTGATTGTTTGGAACTGTTTTTCTATCCCACTTTTCTAAAAGTAGAAACAAGTTTCTGAAAAGAAAGATACGGAGTATATTTTATATTTCTTGAAAATGATTAGGAGCATTTTTTTTGTTATGTTTTTTATTTTGAATTTTTCTTTTCGACATGCATACGAAAACAGTTAAGAGTTTCCATAAAATTTAATTTCTGTTGTCTGTGTATTATTTGTAAACTGCTTGTTTGTTTGTTCTAAAATTACGTTTTTTTTTTGAGTTTTTTCGTTTAAACTAGACAAATTTCGATCAAGACTTAAACAGATACTCCATCCGTTCTTAAAAAGAGTTCCTACTTTGACAAAGTGTAAAAATAAGGAAGTGTTAAATTGTAGTTGACTTCCAATTTTGCCCTTGGTGTGATGAGTAAAAGTAAGATGTGATAGATTATTAGAGAAAAAGTATGATGTGATACGTAGGATATGAAAAAGTAAGGATAAAAGTGGTTTTTTAATAAAAAGGGGAAGTGTTTTGTTGAAATTGAAAAAAAATGAGAGAGGAAGTGTTTTTGAGAATGGAGGGAGTACTAAATTACGTAGTTATGGAATGAAAAATATTTTTTACGGAGTCGTTTTTTACAAGATAAACCTAATAGTACTCCCTCCGTTTGGAAAAAGCCTTCCCACTTTGACTATAAAGCAAAATAAAGAAGTGTAAAATTATAGTTGACTTTCAATTTTGTCCTTGATGTGATGGGTAAAAGTAAGATGTGATGGATTTATTATTAAAGAAAAAGTATGATGTGATAGGTAGGGTATGAAAAAATAAGGGTAAAAGTGGTTTTAAATAGAAAGGAGAAGTGTTTTGTTGGAAGTGAAAAAATGAAAGAGGAAGTATTTTTGAGAACGGAGGGAGTATTATTTTTGTATTGTTATGCATTGTAATTGTTTTAATTTGCTATGAAAAATTCAGTTTGACAATAAAAATCAAATTTGATAAATACTCTAACACGTGTCGAATATTTTATCTTTCTTTTTTAAAAAAAGAAATTGAGAGAATTGTTAGGATTGGGTAGAGATTACTGGATCGAGTTATAAGACACTTGGGTTGAGCCACATTAAAAGATTGAATCCAATTGATTAGTTAGTTCAACTCAAGAGCTTATATACTGATTATTTTCCTCACACTTTTCCAATGTGGGATACTCTAACACTCCCCCTCAAGTGGACAACCGGGCCATTTTGAATCTAACCGGTTGACCACTTGCAAATGAACTCCCATTCCATTGACTTTTTTTTTAGCGCCAACACCTAAAGGACCACGAGCCGCTGGGTAAGGACTTCCAGACGAGCAATCGTGTTAAACGGGCCACAGGCCGTTGAGTACATACTTCATACGGACAACTGGGCTAAAGACTAACGGGCCGCTAGGAATGAACGTCTAGACGGACACCTTGACAAACGAGGTGGCCAAAACCTGCTCCGATAACATGATAGAATTTTTAGGATTAGGTAGAGATTACTGGATTGAGTTATAAGACACTTGGGCTGAGCCACATTAAAAAATTGAATCCAATCGATTAGTTAGTTCAACTCAAGAGCTTATATACCGATTATTTTCCTCACACTTTTCCGATGTGGGATACTCTTAACAGAAATATATCTAAACAAAATTAAACATGGAATTTATATACAAATAAGTAGACATCCCATATTTATCTTTGGAAACATCTAAAATGACACTAGTTATTTATACACTAGTTGCTTACACCACTTTGTTTGGGATACATACGGTCCCCATTTCTAAAAATGAATGTTCCTACCCCTCTAACTCTCCCCCTAAACCCCTCACCTCCTTCCTCTACCCCAGCCCCCTCCTTAACCTAGCTGGGTAGGGAGGAGGCATTGGTGGGGGTAGGGATAGAGGGTTTTAGAGGTAGGAATCGTCATTTTTACAAGCAGGACACCGTATCATTTTTTACTCTCTCTCTTTTAAATATGAGTGTGGTCACTACGAAACGACTACAATTTGACATTATGTTGACATTTCACAATATAACTTATACATTTTATTATGTATTTTGTTATAAAAACATTATAAATTTTTTTAGGATAGGAAACATATTTCAGTCTTAGGTAGGCACTTTTTCGTTTTCTGCTCAAGTATGAATGGACTAATAGGGACGAATAAAATGATAAACTTACATGGTATAATATTGAACCATAACGGGCCGATACCGAACCATTTTCCGTGTTTTCAAACGTGATTCATATTTTCAATCTCAAATCGATATCAAGCGAGACGAGACCGTGATGTAAAAATTTAAAATTGATTAGCACGAATCAAAACATTTGAAGTTTAGTGCATGCAAAGTATCGTGAGTACTTATTTGTTTGCTTATCTTTCCATATACGAAGTACTCCGCATGATTTTTTTCTCTTTCATTTAAAACTCTTTCATTATTATCGTTACTATTCCTGAATTAGTGTTTTGAGCCGTCATGGAGACATGAATCATCAATTTTACAAAAATAACACCACATTACCTCAATTTGGTATAAATAGCATCAACGCTTGGTGTCAATATAACCCAATCACATAGTTATTTTTGTTACATTTAACATTATTACTACTAATGCGATTATCAGTATTATTACATATTATTATCACCAAGGTTCCGTTGACACTGTCATCTACTGTCAACGGATGATACTTGCCTATTTCGAGCACCTCCGATACTCCAAATGAAAAATTGATGGTTCTTACCCACCTTAAACCCTCCACCGCACCTCCGTCCAAGTCCCACCCACGCACCCCCACCCAAGATCCTCCTTTTACCCCCTCCAAATGTGTGGCTATTATGCAATGCATAATGGCCACACATTTGGAGGGAGACGGAGTAAAAGGGGGATCTAGAAGGGGGATCTAGGGTGAGGGTGTGGGGGTGGGACTGGGGTGGTGTACGGTGGAGGGTTTAGGGGGTTGGTTAGGAGGTAGAAATCATCAATTTTGAAAACGGAACACCGCAGGTGCTCGAAATAAGCAAATGTCATCCGTTGACCCTAGATGACAGTGGCAACGGAACTTTGTCGTACTATTATTATTATTATTATTATTATTATCACTACAATGTATTATATTCAAGAAATATTTGCACTAAACAGCACTAAAACTTAAGTCATTTCCCTAAATAGCACTTAAATTGTTTTATTCCCTAAATAGTATTCCCTCCGTCCCCCGGTTTTTGTCCACTTTTGACTTTTGAAACTGTTCATCTAAGCACTTTGACTCATCAAATTCTCTCAATGTGTAAGCCTAAATATAGTCATGTGTGATCTTGTTTGATTTGTCTTAACATATAGATTATTAATATATAATTTTTATAATTTTTTAATATACAAATTACAAGATAAAATAGATTAAAGAAGTGCATTGGATGGTGTGTAAAAATGAAAGTGGACAAAAACTGGGGGACGGAGGGAGTATTTAATAATGTCCATAATGTCCAGTGATGGTGAATATTTGTTTGAATAATGACTAATGCATAATGACTAAAAGTGCTACATTGGGAAGAAAAACACATGTGGTACTATTTAGGGAAAGTCATTATGTTTTAGTGTTATTTAAGTAAATTCCTCTATATTAAATAATAGTCTAGTTTATTACTTCGTGTGAATTAGAAAAAAGTCATTACTCCCCTCCACATTTTAACTTTTTTAAAATTATGATTTTTTGAAATTTTGCACATTTTCTTTTTTTGATAAAGTTGTACTTTTCTTTTGTACAAATTACAAACTTGTACTTTATTTTAATATTTGAATTTTGAGTGTTTGATTTTTTGGTACAATTTTAGCATGATCGATATGGTGATATATCATCTCATTTTAAAATCGAATTATATTGAATAATTTTGAGTTTCATCCCATACCAATTCTGTATTGTTTTAATAAGCGTGGTTCGTGATAAACTCTGATAGTATCTCACGTTGTCACACATTGTACACACCGTTAATCAAATATTGTTTGAGTATCCCATATTG